ATCATTAGGATATTGTTTAATGATACGTAACTGTTAATGATTTAATGTCTGATATAAAGATAAAAGGCTAAAATACTTGCCTTTCAATCATACAATGTATTGTATAGCGCAATAGTTGTGTTCAACCCACTGCTTTTGTTCGTGAGTTCCAACTATAAAACCAATAGATGTTTATTTCTATGTGCACAATTAAGTTATGGTAAAGAAAAGCAGAAGTTGTCATAATAAACACGAAAGTTGAGAGCCACCTGTTTCAGTCACGCGGCTTATCACTTGATCACTTGACTATAATAGAAAAAAATCTGATAAATAAAGAGATTCTTTCATCACGTTTTTATAATAGCTTGATTGTTTTAAATATTGATTTAAATCGTGATCAATTAATTAAATCAATACCTAATCAATAAATTTGGGTTTAGATTGTTTGGTAATTAGATTTTCATATTTGACAATGGCATTAGTTTCCCACGCTTTTAGATTAGATTCATATCATGTTTGTGTTAAAAACTGTTTGTTCCAAGGTTATTTATTAAACTTCGTTATATTACAAATAAAAACAAGTAACATAAATTATTAGGGATGCAATGGGCGGCCTTAACGCTAACAAGCGGTCTCTTCCAGACACCCTGGTTAGGAAAAGCTATTAAAAAAGAAATACTTAGAGTTTAAGAAGTGTGAAGTCAAAAATCATTTATTCATATAGGTAACACAATGTACGCTAATGAACGTCAAAAAAGAAATAAACATTAAATGGTTCTTATTTTACATTTACTGCAGTTCTCAAATCAAGGGCGTAGAACGGAAGAGAAGAATTACTGGCAATAAACTCTCCGCCACTCTTTTTAATCGCCAAGTTTTTTGTTTTACACAATGTAAGGAGCTGCAACCATTACACCATGTTCCACATTACATCTTAAGTGATAAAAAATAATAAAATAAATAAAAAAGAAAGATTTGTCTTCTACAAGTGACAATGTAAAATAATACAATTAACGAACGTAAACTAAAAAAAACACGGTTCATATATTACAATTCACAAAAAAATAAATGAATTACAAAAGTCACGATTAAGCATAGGATATGGTTTAGAACTGTTTATGTATAAGAAATTAGTTTTAGAAAAAAGTTATCTTCTGATTTAATTAATATAAAAAACAACAGAATCAAATGCCATATTTCCTTCTGCGACTTCCAAACAGAAACAAATGACCTTCTAAACAGCTTAGCAATAACATGAAACAAGAACAGCTACACTTTGAAATGAACAGAACAAATACTACAACAGTTAATGCACGTAATTATGTTGGCTAATATGTAAAAAAAATTTTTGAAACATCATATTCAACCTGTCTTGTCTAACAGCATGACACTAATAAAAGTTCAACTAGCCATACGACAGTGTCCCAGTTTCGCTATTGAGTAACAGAACCGTTGTTTTATAACATTATTGTTTGTAACGTAACGGTACATAATTTTTAACGGTGATTACATTAACTCATGTAATACAGCGCCGAGAAATTATATTAGCAATAATTTCTCGGCGTTGTATGAACTCAAGCAGTGTTGGCCTAGTGGCTTCAGCGTGCGACTCTCATACCTGAGGTCGTAGGTTCGATCCCCGGCTTTGTACCAATGGACTTTCTTTCTATGTGCGCATTTAACATTTGCTCGAACGGTGAAGGAAAACTTCGTGAGGAAACCGACATGTCTTAGACCCAAAAATTCGTGTGTCACTTACTTGCCTATTAGATTTTAAAATGATCATGAAACAGATTCAGAAATCTGAGGCCAAGACCCAAAGAGGTTGTAGCGCCACTGATTTATTATATTTTTTGCATGAACTGTAAATAGATTAAAAATAATAAGAAAGGAAGGCGTAATATGCTTAGGGAATTAAGAATATCCATAGCATCATGAGCACACCACACATACACTCACGTACATACATTTTCACACCATCACACAACACAGCCGAATTAGGTATTACTTGGTTTGTATGTATTTAATATTTTTTATTGATTTTTTCCTTTCGTAAATATTTGAACCTTTTTGGATATATTATTTATTACATCTTTGGGTATATGTTAAGTATATATAGCTGTAGGATTACGATATAAATAAAGCCCATACATTTAAATTTTTACAAATGTTAACAACAGTTTAAATGTGTTATATACATTGTTTTCTACTTTCTGTTACTTGTATATCCTTCAGTACAATTGATCGGAACTTCACGGGAAAAGGCCTCCTCCAGCTTTTTCCAAATTTTTCTATCCATGGCTTTCTTTCTCCATAACGCTTCTATATCTTCTATACACCTTTTTCTAAAGCTCCCTCTTCTCTATCTTCACCTTGTTTAAAGTCCATCTTTCTTCTTCTCACTTCTATTTTAGGGCATAATATAATAATAACAATAGCCTTTATTCAGATACATTTAAACACATTTCCATTTTCATCCTCTTCTAGTGTATCTGTGTGCCCTTTTTTGGCCAAGGCAAATTTTGAGGAGCAAAATCCCGCCATCCTCTCTGGACTGTGCGACTCTCTGCCATGTACCACCTGCTGTTTCTTTTATGTGGTCTATCCACCTTCTAAGTTGTCTCCCTCTTCTTCGTGTACTGTACCTTGGGCACTAGTAAAGTAGCTTTTTTCTCAACTTTTCTGTTCCTTTTGTGCCCCACCCATTTCCACTTTAGTTTATTTATTTTTATTGTAACATCTGTTACCTTAGTTATTTTTCTTAACGCTGTTTTCTTTTTTTTTAAGAAAGCTCTTCAATACTTGTATACTACCTGTACTAATACGTATATACTGTATTAAAGATTAGAGGTTCAAAAAAAAGTATTTACTAGTCTCATGCATGGGGAGATTACCTTGGGCTTTTTTGTAAACCTAAATATAATTAAAGAGCTTTTAATCTTAATTTATAACTCTATTCTTAATTAAGGTAATTTAAGAACTTATTGCGAGTTTTGAGTCTTGAGTAAAGACGCACGATTTATCGTCATTGTGCGGGCAAGATTTTTGTGTATGTATTAAAATCTGCACCACCGCGCCGGTGGCTCTGATCCACGAAACAGAAAGACTTTCGTTAAACGAATAAGTTAACAGGGCTGCTAATAAGTGTTGATTATGCCTTTTTTTAACTAATTTTTAAATGTCTATAAATTAACCCCAAGTTCTTATATCAAGGACGTTCAAGTAGAAACACGAAAGCCTTCACCATTCCTTATAATCGCTATGTCATAGACATATGTGAAAACAATTCATAAAATTAAGGGTTTTCTACTGATAATCAACTCTATTGTTCAAAGTAATATTATATCTTACGAATACGTGCGTGTTTACAAAGAACCCATTCAAAAGAATTACGTAAGGAATTCATAATTATGTGTTTTACTGCTTAAGGCGTCGGTCAAAGTTTTGAAAAGGGCATACAAGAGAGGACCTTGGTTATTATATCTATTGTACCTTAGACCTTTAAATTAATTGGATTATTAAACATTTTAGAATAACATGTCGATTTTGATTACTGTAGGACGAGGCCGAGTAGCTAGTAGTAGTTTTATACAAAAAAACTTTGTAAGTAATAACTTGCGTCCCTAATAAAGTGTAAGAGAAAATCTTCGAATACTCAATAGAAAAGCTTGAACCCAATTCTTCCTTCAGTACCTTCATATCGTTCCAAACATGTTCCAAAGGTACCCGTCGTTTATTGATTTTGAATTTTGAAAATAGTTATATTCATATAATCTAACCGCTAATCGATCAACTTTAGTCAGTAAAGCGGCAAAGTTTTTAATGAGCTCTTCGATAAAATCAAATGAAACATGCAGAAATCTAGTTGACTAGACTAGAAAACTAGCTGATAATGGGTGCATAATTTATTATTAGCTATATAAGGTTAAGATTACTGTGTATAAGCTTGACAGCGCGCCATTGAAGGAGGTTCAGGAGATTCGTGACTTGGGTGTTATTATTGACAAAAAATTAACGTTTACACCACAAGTCAATAAAGTAGTCACCACATCCACACGAATGCTTGGATTTCTTAAACGGAATGCGGATTGTTTTGGTTGTACGACTAAAACAATTTTGTACAACGCTCTGGTGCGCAGTCATGTTGAATTTGGCAGTATTATATGGAATCCACAAATCCATTCGCAACGCGTTGAAAGCATTCAAAGATCTTTTACGCGGCACCTAGCTTTCATAAGCAGAGGATTTTCACATAGGCACCCGTACCATCAGCGACTCAAAAAATTTAATATGATATCTCTGTACAATCGAAGAACTCTAGCCGGTGTTACCTTCTTGCATAAATTGCTCAATAACTATATACAGATCAGTGACCTCTTACAGGAAATCAAATTTGTCGTCCCTTACTCATTCCCTAGGTTTAAAATCAACAATATCTTCCAAATTCCTTCTGCCAAAACCAACCTAGGAGTTCAGGCACCTCTCGTTCGAATACTTCGCGATTTCAACAAATTGAACACAGCGTATCCAGAGCTGGATATATTCGGTAGTGGGCTGATCGGTTTTAGAGAAAGCATTGTGGGTTGCCTTTCTCAAACCTAATTTCGCTGTTTTGATGATGATTTTTCTTTTTTTTCTGCTCTAAGTGCCAACAAATTTCTGTAATTTTTTTTTATTTTATTGTGTGCTTTTACTATCGTATATGTTTTAATTGTAATTTTTATTTCTATTTAAAAATTTTTTTTTGTGAAACTTATGCTTACATTAATTGTCACACATTTTAGATGCGAGATTTTTTTGTAAAATAATTAGTAATTTTAGTACTGTGTGTGATGTTATAAGCTTATTAACTAAATAAATAAATAAATAAAAAGATTATTTACAATGATGTGTGTCTTTTACAGGGTGGAGGGGGAGGCGAGTGCGGTGCGGGGTGCGCGGGCGGACGGCGCGGTAACACCGCCGCTCCGGCGCGCGCGTTTGCGTCGCACCCACCGCATCCGCTCCGAGCACTCGATGATATGCCGCCGGTACTTAGGTATAGTATCCTCATCCATCGGTATATCACACCCGCTTTTGTTACTAACCAATTCTAACCTAAGACTGAAATGTTGCTTCGTAGTCATTAAATGACAATCAAGATACCTAATATTTTAAAACATTACCAATTCAAAATTCTGGCGTTGGAATAAAATGTTGTTACTCACCGGTGTTGAAAAATAAATATCTACTGTTCATCCATCCATAAACAAAGGAAGTTAAAATAATTTGGAACTCAAAGTCTAGCACATTCTGATACAGATAAATCCGCAACGGCACACATCTTCACGCATACTTTAGATTTGATTAAGGAAAACATAAAAATAAATAAACTTAAGTGGCCATGGCAGACAGTGGACACTGCAGACAGGAATGGCGGGATTTGAAGGAGGCCTTTGCCAAAAAAGGGATACCTAAAAAGAATGAGATAGAAATATAAATGTGTTTAAGTGTAAAAGAATCTGAAATAACATGCCATTATTATTTATTAAATAATGAAAATGTAATTTAAACACTCGTATGTAGTTATCTGTGCTTTTATAACTAAATAATCTACTTTAATCTATAATAATCTAAAATATCCAAACGATGGCCTTTATCTATGTATGCCACATCGCGTTCCTTGTTGATATAAGAGAAAACTATTTCCTAATGTGGGTTTGTTAAACATTTCGATAGCGTGACAAATGTCTGTGACCCGAGTGTCGTGTTGTGAGAGGATGACCTTTGATGAGCATGCAATGTAGACAATTACGAGTCTTATCTTTGCGATACCGCCGAAGAATGATTTGTGGATGATTTAAAAAGTAATTAGTACATGATAGTTTAAACTTTTAAATTTAAACGTAATTATTGTATGGTATCTGTATGGTCATACAGGAGCAGGGTGTGAGCAGTGTTGGCCTAGTGGCTTCAGCGTGCGACTCTCATCCCTGAGGTCGTAGTTCCATCCCCCCGGCTGTGCACCAATGGATTTTCTTTCTATGTGCTCATTTAACATTCGCTCGATCGGTGAAAGAAAACATCGTGAGGAAACCAACATGTCTTAGACCCAAAAAGTCGACGGTGTGTGTCAGGCACAGGAGGCTGATCACCTACTTGCCTATTAGATTTAAAAAATGATCATGAAACAGATACAAAAAAGGTTGTAGCGCCATTGATAATATTCAAATCTGAGTTATTGTCATAAAACAACATCTTAAATACTAATACTACTTACACCATACACACATTATAATATATAAATTTACTTTCGTGAGCAATTTATTCCCCCTCCCCCCCTCTTGTCGGCAAAAGTAAGCAAAGCTCTCAAAAATAATAGTACATAAACGTATTTTTTTTTGTAGGAATCCTCGAAAATGCATTTCGTTTCAACCATAGAAATGGATATAACGTGTAAAAAAAGTAAAAATTACTGATGACGTAATCATTAATCAGTATACTGCACCTTCAGCTGTTAGTTTAGAATCTGACCAACAATAATACTTTTAAGAAGATATAGCCAAGTTCAAAATTTTGGGATTTTTCTAAATTAATCATGGCATCGGCATTTTTTCAAGTTAATATTGGTTACTTATTTAGTCTGACAGTCTCCTTGACTCGGCGTTGCGTATTTGGCTTATTAAATTCAATAAAAAGGTTCTATGATCTCCGAAATTGTATGTTTCAATTTGGCTCATCTCTTTATTAAGAAAAGATATACATACAAACAGGTGTTAAGTGAGATTATGCAGTCACGTAGTTAACAATATAACAAAGCGAAAGCAACATTATTGTGAAGAAAGGCGTAAGAGGTCTTCCACATGACTGTACAGGAAGCCATTTTGTTGATTCATTGAAGTTTTCTGCCAACCGCAAATAATTTGTTATTTGGGTCAACATACATCTCTCAAACTAACGAATATAACTGATTTTAAATAGCTTTTGGCAGGGCAAGGGTGCGCTTGCGACGGTATCACATGCCGTCCTAAGACACTCATATGTATATAATATATATATATATATATATCGACGTAGGAAAGCATATTTGCTGTAAGTAGACAAAATACCTAAAGTGACTTTTTCCTGCCATTAGAATCAGAAAAAAAAGCCGCATCGAATGACCTGGGTCCTGTGTCTCTACGATGAAAAAAAAATTACATACGCCGTTGAAAACGCCCGTACTTATATTATTTTTAGCAAGATTAAATGCTGTATGTAGACCAAAATCTAGTCATTTCAGACATTTTGCACTTACAGCAAAAGAAAATCTGCATTTTTTTCTTTACAAATACTTACTTCTTCCCATTTAAAAACTTAACGCTACTTACAGCATTTCAGCGGCGTGTGATTTTTACATTCGTTTACTTACAGCAAGTTTAGGGAACCTACAGTTTTGGTTTTTTTTTACCATTTACGACATTTTATTTCAACCAAACATTACATTACCAAATGACCCACTGCATTTCTAGATCTAATCATAATTATAAACTAATCTTACATCTTGAATTGCAATTAAAAGTACCCAAATACATAAATTTCCTGCATACAGCATATTTACCGCCTGTAAATTGATAATATTTCCGCGCGTACATTTTTCTTCCTTAGTTACAGCGTTTTAAAGGTTTGTGATTTAAAAAACTGTTTGCTGTAACTAGCCAAACACGTACTTATAGTAACTTTGGATAAAAAGTTTACATTGCAAATGGTGACTGGCAGTTAAATAAATATATGTTTCAAAAATGGTAGCAATATCATGGATAGGTCAGACACTATTAATTTTTTTCCGAAATTAATAAAGTTTTTTGGCTCTGGTGAACAATTGCAATATGTCTACTTACAGCAAATGTGCTTTCCTACGTCGATATATATATGTAAGTTATCCTATCTTTTAAGTTAGATCAAACTGCACACGGTGTGCAAATTTGATTGAAATCGGTTAAGTAGTTTAGGAGTCCATATCGGACAAACAACGTGAAAGGTAATTAATCTTAATATATATATTTCTTGTGTGCGTGTGTATGTGACTGAACTTCTCTCAAACGACTGGACCGATTTTGATGAAATTTTTTGTGTGTGTTCAAGGGGATCTGGGAATGGTTTAGATTCACAAATCAGCCCGGCAGATGGCACTGCAGTCGGTACTTTCATACTTTGCTTAATATCCTAATCGCTTTAAATATCATGCAGGACAACGTCTGTGGGGTCCACTAGTATATATATAGATGTAAAAAAAGGTATCCAGTGAGTTTAAATGTACATTTATGAGCCAGACTAGACCCAGCCTAAATTGAAATTTATTTTCATAGTAGTGTAGGGTTGAGTATCCAGAATCTGTATCCATGATTTTCCCTTTACTCGGTAAAATATTATGCACTGGTTGGGCTGTCGTGTCAGTATAGCAAAATATGGAATCCAAAAATCTATCAGAGAATACTATCAACGGTGTGCCTACACTAAGCACTGGATCTTTTATTATTGTAATGTGTAAATGTTGTACTAATGGATTAATGGTTAAATGTGAGGGCGCACGCGACCATTACGGCAGAACCTACCATTTCCGGATCCTGTGTCAAAGTCAAAATTTATTTCCTCTTTTGACTGACATCGATTTAGGGTGAAAAGTAGTATTTCATTTATAACCAATACAGCGTATATAATATACATAAACAATATTAGCGATTTTCATAGATTTAGAAATATCAATTATAAAATTTGTATTCCTTTACAATATTACTGCATATTTTGTCTGTATTTGAATGTGTTGAGAATAGAAAAGACATCCTAAGGTCGCTAGTACATAGTGAAGTGACTTTTGCAATATCTTGCGTTCAAATGTGCGTAATCCCTCAAAGGATTTCATTAATGTAAATATATTCTATTGTTTGTTTTGACTATTGTGACGCATTGAAAAGGTAAATGACATACAAATGTGATCACATACCTTAAATACGTGTTGCCCCCTCAAACAGGCTTATGGTGACTTTAGACATGTCAATGTGTAAGGCATTTCATGTGACCTTTGATGTGGACCTATTATTCTAAACCATTCAGAAGTGGTTTCTTTATCCTAAACTGGGTAGACTTTAACATTTACAAATTAAAAAAACAATTAAAAAAAATTAGTCAACATTAGGAATTTGCTTGAATTATGTAAATAGTTTACAGTTTTTCGAGTAATCCTTCTTTACAGTAATATCCGTCGCGATTTTGGTCGAATATGATATGGTCATATGACATCATGCATTATCATATAGCATTTTATAATGATAGCCATAGATTAAAAAATAAAATTAAAAATAAATCAGTCGCATTACAACTCAGATTCCTGAATCTGTTTCATGATCATTTTTCAATCTACTACGCAAGTAGGTGATCAGCCTTCTGTGCCTGACACACACTGTCGAATTTTTGGGTCTAAGGCAAGCCGGTTTCCTCACGATGTTTCCCTTCACCGTTTGAGCGAATGTTAAATGCGCTCATAGACAAAAAGTCCATTGGTGCACAGCCGGGGATCGAACCTATGGCATAGATTCAAACTAATAATACTCTCTGATCATACTGCAGTTCTCGAACTGTGACTGTCGAATTCAGTTTTTAATCAAAACTTAAAGCAAAAGCGCAGCCCAGCAGCGATTTCAATTTCTACGAAAATTCAAAGTTTTGAAACTCATTCTCTATGATTGAAGCGAACTAAATTTTTCCGAGAATATGAAGCTAGATGAAGACAAAATATTTTTCTTTTAACGTTTTCGTTTTGACTCGGTATTAATAAGAATATTGATCAATATTCTGAAATTGAAAACTTTATTCATCTTCTTAACCTCTTTGAAGCACACGCGTATTTTAAAACGTTAGTATGCTGTCGATGCCCCAATATAGGAGATTTTTTGTCTTATAAATACTATACTGACATAGCAACTAAAACCGAATTATTACTAACTCTAACTAAAACTACATGTGGATATAATCTGAAATAAAGAAGTTATTTTTACAAATATTAATTAACATTATTATAAATGGTATGTAGAATATGTGCAACAATTGTTGGTTGGCCTCTGATAAGAGCCCAAGTATTAAGATGTCTAAATTTCAGGTCAAACCCTTTGTACACTGAAGAGGAAGAACAAGAGATAGTGATAATCGTAGACTCACTGGAGACGGAGTCGGTGGAGGTCGCAGATGACACCCGGAACCCTCGACGAGCGCCATCTTACTCATCAGGTAGAAAATGTTAGGATTTTCATCATCTATCTTTTATGTTACTGGAACATTTACGGAGACCGCATTCGTGAGAGGAAAGCATCATAATTGTCCGATGTTTTAAATGCTTTGTTGATCTATTATTTTTGTATAAGATTTATCTTTTGTAGTCTTGTGCATTTATCCAATTTCTTTTCTCACAGTGGTTGCCTGGTAGAGATAGCTTGATACTAATAAGACCGCCAATTGCTTCCTTTTTCTTTAATTATTTTAATTGTACTCTATTTCTGTATTACGTGTAAATAAATAAAAATAAAATAAATAAATGTGATCTCTATATGTATAATGTTATCATATTTCTCTGGAACATTATTATATACAATATAATAATATATATAATATAATAATATATATAACATAATTCTAATGTAAAATATACCTACTGATAGGCTTCGGCGTGTAATAATAGTCGGTACAATTTGTTATTGTTTGATAAATATTAAAATAAGTTAAAAATCAATTTCGATTTACATTTTGTAATAAAATATTATATAAATATAGCAATAGAGCGAGAAAATGCTGCTAGCATTAAAGGTACACTGCTACAGGGGCCCAACTTTTAATTTTCTATTTATCAATTTTTGATTATTATTACTATGTTATTGAATATTGGACATAAATAAGTATTTAAAAGTACGTCTGTCTTAAATTATGACCTGACAAAGTTTTTGTTACTTTTGTAACTTTCAATTTTAGGTTATGGCAGCGGTGGAGGCAGCCACGGTCGCGTATCACCAAGTTTACCAAAGAATGAGGAATATGAAGTCGAGCCGAGACTCTCGGACTTAGAAAAGAATGGATCTCAAAGTACCTCCGATTCTGATGGCACCCCACCCTGTACCCTCTCCAGAAGTTTAAAAGAAGATATCCGCTCTTGTTTGGGAGGATGCCGGTCAGTATGAAATATATTTGAGAGTGACCCACTATGACAGGAACGACCAGCTCCCCCTCCCATTCTTAGAGTATGAAAAAGACCCTTACCTCTAATTAGTGACTATGTTTAGTGATATATACCTATTGACAGTCAAGAGCACGTTGAAGTTTTCACTTGCTTTGTAAAGCAGGCTTCTACTTCTACTGACTATTGAAAATAAATGTTTGCGTTCGAATTTTATAAGACTACATATTTTTTAAATATTAGATGGGAGAAAGATGTGGGGCAAGTGGTAGAAGCGGCTGTCCGTGGGGCGGGCGGTGTGAGTGCTGCTAGGGCGCGGCTTCACGCTGCCCTTCTAGCCCTACATGACCCACCCAGGGGCTATAACCGGGGACCATCGTTACCTTATTGCGGGCCTGGCGTACGACCTGGTGATGTCACCATGATGCCTAAATCTACAGGCATGTCTTTACTGGTAAGTCATTTCTTAAATTATGTAGTTTTATTTTATAGGGTAACTAGCTGACTCGGCAAACGTTGTTTTGTCATGTATTATTTCTAGGAAACATTATTTTAGTTCAATAAAAATACTAAAAAATAGGGGTTGATCGTAGAGGGGTGAAAATGAAGGAATTTTTTTTTCCATAAAATATTTTCAAGCAACAATTACTAAGCACACTTCGCTGATAGCTTGGTTTATGTAACGACAATATCTAATTACCCACAATAAATCGTTTCATTAATCATTTAAATCGATACAACGATTAGTGTTTAACTATAAAATATTGCATCCATAATGGTCTCCCGAGCTCGGAACCTTATTTAGATCTGATATATTGCCAATATTTAATATCCATTAGTGTTGCCACTTGCCAGCTCTTTAAATTTATATTGCAGATGTTTTTGAAGTTATACTTCTTTTGGCGCGTTAGGGAAAAATTATGAGAGTAAATTTTTACGATGCGCTCGTACACCGTCACAAAACTGACACCCTGAAGTTTGCTATAAAATAAATGTTGACATTTTAGTTTTTTCTATTGTTAGTGTCGTGTATTCTACAAACGTAGATTAAAATTAAAAATCTATTAATACGCCAAAGAAGTTACATAACTTCTATCGCGTCTACATAAGTACACACACGTTTTTTTAACATGTAATGTACGACCCGTACTTCCAACTTCCTGCCAGCAGCCAGCCAGCAAACAGCCAGAATTGTTTATTTCAGTTATTTTCATAGCTTGATGACGTACGGCATTCTCCTTTGGGGAAACTGTGCGGATATTAATACAATCTTATTACAAAAAAGAGCTGTCCGCTCTATATAACCTAGGTCCTAGAGTTTCTCTCCGAGAGAAATTCAAAGAGATAAACATTCTGACTGTAACTTCACAATATATTTTTGAAAATTTACTTTATGTTCACAAAAACGAACCTGGTTTTGTCAAATTGTCTGATCTTCACTCCCGAAATACTAGGAACAAAAATAATTTAACAGTTTATGCTACTCGCCTTCATAAAATAAGCAACTCGTTCATGGGTCAATGTATACGCTTTTACAATAAACTTCCTATGGATGTTCGTAAACTTCCTCTTAAGAAATTTAAATTTTTTATTAAATCAAAATTATTAACTAGGTAAAGGATATTACAGGATATCCGATTATTTAAATGATAGAAACGCCTGGGATTGAGCTGCTCGCTTATACAGCTATCGCTTGTGTTTTTTTTAAGCTGTCTTTCACTTTTTTTTTTTTTTGCATGTTGTACATATTTACAATCTGACATGTCTTGTGCTTTTGCATATGCATTTTATTTTATTCTATTGACATGTTTGTGCTTAGTGCATATTCATTTTTTTACATTTTTTTTTTTCTACACTACTGACATGTTTTGTGCTTAGTGCATATTCATTTTTTCTTTTTCTACAATACTGACATGTTTTGTGCTTTTGCATATGCATTTTATTTTATTCTATTGACATGTTTGTGCTTAGTGCATATTCATTTTTTTACATTTTTTTTTTCTCTACACTACTGACATGTTTTGTGCTTAGTGCATATTCATTTTTTCTTTTTCTACAATACTGACATGTTTTGTGCTTTTGCATACAATATTTTACACTTTGACATGCCAAGTGAATAATGTTTATATAACGATTATATTTTTCAATTTCATTATTTTTTCCTTGCTTTAAGGTACACCTTAAAAATACATTTTGTATCCATTGTAAGTGTAAACATTATGCGGGTATATCATAAACTCTTTTGCTTGATTTATAATTTGATACTTTTTAGTCTATAGTTATTTTGGGCTGGCGATCTGAGTGAGTTGTTGCCCCACATATTTTTATGGTGCCACTGGCGGTACTGCTGTGTACCGGGTTGTGCAGCTCCCTCAAAAATGGTTGAGCTGCATGAGCTATTCGGGGCATGCTTGCCGTCTGCTGGCACAGGCTTGCTCAGATCGATCTGGTTCTTTCTTCCAAAGACCAGTCCAGTAAATACTCTGCATTTGTTTACACCAATTTATTAATTTATTATTGTATTATCTGGACTATAAAAGAGACTAAGACCCCCGAGTTTGTTTCGACATTTCTTCTCAGGGCAGTCAGTTAGGAAATGTCGACTTCATCTAGTTTAGGATGACATTGTAAAAGTGATTTATATAGTCCTACTTGCATGAATAAACTATTTCATTTCATTTCATTTCAACTATGGTTTTTATTTTGGAAACGCATATTTTTTGGACGTATTTTCGTATTAATTTAGAATTTATATCATAAGCTACAATTTGAGGTCGCAGATTTTACACATAGTGTACTTTTGAGGTCTTTTATTTGTAATTTTTAGCTCATAAAAATCTTATCTCATAACTCTTCATTTCTTGGCGAATCCTTTAGGGTCTCTCAATGAGGCTATGGAATTCACTTCCCGTCCCTATCCGCTTAGCTCTTCCTTTAAATCTCTACTGTACAAGCATTACCTGTCCACATCGTATCCCTAACGTTCGTATTAACTGATCCAAAATTATCGTGATTCATGTGTCCTTTTTTTATTATTGTTCCTTTCACTTTTTACAGTGGTTTCCTGGAAGAGGTCGCTCGAAAGCGATAAGGCCGCCAGTTACCCTTCTTTTAATTAAATTATTTTAATTGTACTTTATTTCTGTATACTTTCAACAAAGTCTTAATACATAAATAATTTAATAAATGATTTTAGATAAGATTTTTGGCATGTCTGTCATGTCTTAATGCCTAAGGCTAGAATGAACTGAAAAATGCATATAATATAGGAGAAGAATTCCTTCATTACAATATCGAATTAATTATATACTAGAAAGATATGTCAACTCTTTGATAGCTGATATAACCTGCTTATAATTGCAATAGATTTGAAGGTGTGACATCACAGATAAAGCAATATTTGCTACTGGAAAGTAGAATATCATGTCATATCAAAAACTAGAATACTTGCAATGATTAAGCCTTATTAATTAATCATAAACACGTGACCGGCACACGCGGTTTCTTACGATTACAGTTTCATAACGGATAGTAACTCAATTCACTTGTCACTTGATTTTTATAGAACAATTTAGGTCAAACACGAACTAGTAGGAAAAAAATATAGCAAAAAATGTCTTTCACGTGATATCGTCATAACAAAACAATAATGAAATGATTGCTAGTTAAGTCTTCGAGTGGAAGAGAGATAGAAGCGGCGCAAGCGCCCAATGAGCGTAGTGGAACAATGAGCGTAACGGGACAATGAGTCATGTTTTATCGTGCGTGCAGCGGGCGTCATCGATTTATTAGATGTTGTCAAAAATATATTAATGTCAAATTATAGAAATGTCAAAAAGTTTTAAGACAACTTTCGATTGTTATTATTGCTTAAGAGACACAGTGGTACCTCGATATACGATTGCTCTAATATACGAGTGTTTTGAAACACGAGCAGCCGAGCAAGCTATGTTTTGCTTTGAGATGAGAGCAAGATTTTATATACGAGGAATCTCACTCTACACACAGTTCCATCCACCAGACCGCAGACAGTACGTTTGTTTTCCTCGTTTTCTGAGCATTTTTTTTGTATTTACAAACCTATTAAAGCGTGAAACCGTTTTTTTATGCAGTAACAAAATCAACTGGGGTGGTGTTTTGGGTGCTGGAGCGGATTTAATGGCATTTCAAATAATTTCGATGGAAAAAATTGCTTTGAGGTACAAGCAAGTTCACAGAACGAATTATACCAGAATATTATACTGTATTTATCTAGAACGCCAAATATATAGATTTATTTAAACCTAAAGTTATATCTTTTATGGTTTTAATAGACATACAAATTCTTCAAACCGGCCGTGACAGCTAAATGTTTATGTTTATAGTTGATCGATTTTTCATAATAGAAGGTGAAATTTGTTATATAATACTTCATGTGTTAAATATTGGGTTACTACTAGAAGGTATGTGGACTATATTGGCGCTGACGGTGACCGCGAAACTGCCTTGCCGCGGGCCATTGCGACACGATTCACCGCTTGACGGTACTATTACAGACAAAAGTGAGAAAGTATTTTTATTGTTTGTGGAGCAAATATATTATATAGGCTGTTTTTGGCGTCATAATTTTTGATAGACCCTGTGATCATTAAACACGGCACGTAAGGTGAACAGATCATAACATTCGTTCTTTAAATGTTTCTTTAGAACTTATACTACTAAAAGAACTAAGTGCACATTCCACCACGCCAAAATCTAAGTATACGCCGTAAATATGAAATAATAGACAAGAATTACTGTCCAGAACAGGTTATAAACTAGTCTATCTAATTTTTCAAGCTCCATTTAATAAATACTCAAGCTTATTAGACATCTCCTCTTAGTAACAGCTCCTTCAACTTGACCGTATTCAACATAGAGAGATTCGAATAGTCGGCGACCAGTCACTTTCCGAGCGACTAGACCCCTTGACGTTGCGTAGAAATGTGGGGATACTCTGTTACTTCTACCGCATTTACCATGTAGAGTGCTCAGAGGAGTTGTTTGGATTAATACCTGCAGCTAAATTACATCATTCATTAGTCGTTCCACAACTGAGCGTTTCTTTAGGCAGTATTTGCCGAGCACCACCATTCTGTGTATCTAGCTGCCCATTGAAGTATTTCCGAACAAATTCGAGTTAAGGTTCTTCTAGAAAAGAGCGTACCGGTTCTTAAAAGGCCAGCATTCTGGCAATGTGAGTGTTCGTGAGTGTATCACTTAACATCGGGTGAGCCTCCTGCCCGTTTGCCCCATGTAAATATATAAAAAAGAAAAGATAACCCATGACCATGCAGGCGGCAACAGATGCAATTTCTTTACTACAAACAACTAACACTTTATTTTCGTATAAGTTTTGCTACATGACTGTACAGACTTTGCAAATTTTTCAATTTACGTATGACATTGTATGTACAATAAATAAATTGGAAGCTTTATATTTTAATGTATAATTGATTATAACACTTAAGTCCTTGACATCGACTATTTTCAACATTTAATCATATTTAACTGTGCATCATTAATTTTGAGATCTTAATTTTAATTTATTACTGCCGACATTATTGCCTAAAGTTTATTAATGTATATGTATTTTGTTAATGATATTCTATTTATTTGTATGTGTTCATATATGAACATATTTCAATAAACTTTTGAGCTATCGGAAAGCTTTTGTCCATTTGTCCAAGCTTTTTGCAAATTGTACTCCTAAAAGGTTCTCTCTTCAGTCGGTAGCTCATGTCTGATCATCACGGTCAGCAAGGAAACATCTGGAGCGGACTATCTGTTTTCACCGGTTTGTGGATATTTTGCCTTCTGTGTCAAGTTTCTCCAAGTTCTTATTGCCTCTGCGCCAGTGGCGTAACAATAGGGTGGCAGGGCTGGCAAAATGCCACGGGCCCCGACCCAAGAGATATTATGTTCTATGGATGAATGTGAAGTCTCCAATACGCATTTGGCTAGCGTGGGGACTTAACCCATTCCCTCTCGCCTAAGAGAGGAGGACTATGGACATTAGTGGGACATATACAATGTGTAATTGAGTACGCTGAAAATCTCGTAGTTTATTAAAATTAAACTGGGTAGGGACGGTTTTTTACTGATAGGGCCTCATCAAAAGAATTGCCACGAAAGAAGATTTGCCACAGGCCCCAGATGGTTCAGTTACTCAACTGCTCTGCGCATTTTATTTCGTCTAAAAGAAAGATAGAAAATACTCATTATCTGACTTAAAAATTCTTTAGTAGTTATCATAAATAAATAGTACCTATTTTATTCAATGCAAACGAATGTTACTGAATTGAACAACGCAACAACACATAAAAGTATCTTAAAAGTGCAGTAATTAACACATTAAGTGTTAAGCTTTTAAATTAATGTACATTTCATATTTCAAAACAAATGACTTATAAATTATGTATACATACTAATCGTGCAATATATTGCGAAATATAATAGCGAGTGATTGCATTAAATTCGTAAGGCGATGGTACAAAGGCGAGAATGTGTGACAAAACGTACGAAGGACGGAGAGCGGATGCGATGTGACCACAACGTCGGAAAGATTGGCCAATTTTAAAACAATGTTAATGTTGCCCTATTGTAAAATTTAATCGTTTTTATTTGTCCACCTAGTTTTGAGCTAAAATTGAAAAGACAGAATTAGAAATTACCAAATACTGACTGGAACAGCCTGTTGACGTATTAAAATTTTCAGTTCTAATAATATACACAATTCCTGATTGGTGTGTCGTGTATTTGTGTTGCTTTTAACGTTTTTTGTCATTGCAGTACAGTATTAATAATGTTTTTAATATATTTCAAAAGTGCTGAGCGTCTTTATATACTAGCTGTACCCTGCCACGCTTCGCTGTGGCACATTGTGATTGAATGGTTGAGAAATGAGAAACAAAACAAAGAATACATTTCATATAAGTTTAATTTTGCAATACTTGTGGAAAAAAATAAAAAAATAAAAATACAACTTTTTTTAAATAGATAAAATCAATTAATGCGGATTATATCATGCTAAAATTTCATTCATTGGCGGAGATCCTAAACGAATTGCGTAACAAGTATGAGCTGTGAGATGGAGTTTCCGAAAAACAACTTATCCTTGTAGAAAACAATACTAATACCTACTTGACTATAAACGTGCGTTCATAATAAACTAATTTAATTTTTTCATATAAATTAAACATTAACAAGGCCGTTGCATTAATAACCACTGGTGTTACACATCGTAACCATTTCAATGATAATATTATTATTAAAATTTCTTTTAGTTTTACGTGCTAAGATTTTAAAGACAGTCCCGCGAATAACTAAGCAAATATCGCATTTCAAGTAGGAAAAATGATAGCTAATCTATTATTTACTCTTCTATTATTTTTAAAAACACCAATCTACTTCTATTCTACTTAAGGTTAAGCTGTTACAATTACTTCACTCATAAATCCGACTTAGTACATTCAAAGTAGCGAAGGCTTTAATATTTCAAATTCAAAATCATTTATTTATTTAGGTAACACAATGTACACTTATGAAATTCAATAAATAAATATGTACATATTAAACGCTAAATGCTTTTAATTTTACATTTACGGCCAGGTCTCAAATCAAGGGCGTAGAACGGACGAGAAGAACTGGCAATAAACTCTTCGCCACCCTTTAATCGCCAAGTTATTATTTTTCAAAATGTTTGTAAGCAGCTGCAACCATTACACCATGTTCCATATGACATCTTAAGTAATTAATAGTTAATTAATAATAAAAAACTAAGATTTGTCCTCTATCAGCAGTAGGCATGGTTAAATAGGACCACGCACTTACATTCTCGTGGGAACAAGACGCAAATACATAGTCGAAATAAGTAACAACACCACAAACACGAATTCAAGTCTGACCCGTCACCACAAGTAGCACCCGTTCACGAGTATTACGCATGGCCAGCCATCGGCCCCTTCCTTTTGTTTAGTCAAAGCTAAAAAAACGTGAAATTCTTACTTCTAGAGTATCTTCACCTATGATTTCACTTATAAAGGAGCTATCAGACCTAGATATAAAGTCAGAATTCAATCACACACAAGTTATAATAAATTATTCTGACCATTATAGTTCACAGTTTGTAATCAAATTAATATTGTCATTAATATAAATAGAATGTGGTAGCGGCCCTAATAGAGGACCCTGAAGAGCACCACATCGATTTACATA